TCTGTTGCCAGCAGAGTCCCTATTTGTGACTTCCTGGTTCCAGCTCAGGTACAAAAATGCCTCATGCCTTTCATTCATTGCGGAGGGTTACTTTAAAGTGTTTAAATCTATCCTGATATATGTCCGACGCTCACTCAAGCCCCGAACTCTTGATTTTCATCTTTAAATTATTATACCTCAACTCTCACTCGCCAAAGATTATGCATCCTTTAGCAGTACCTATGGCAGTCCTATTATGAGATTCCCAAAATTATTCTCCATGGTTTTGTCCTTGTAGACTCGTATAACAAAGGTAACTTCGACTAACTTCGTAGTAGTGGATGTGACAGGTCCTCGGCATAGGCCAAAGCTTGAGAAAGACGAATGACTTTGCAGCACGTGTTAAGAAGGAGCAGTCGATTTCAGGAACACAGATGCCGGTTGTATGGCCTCTAACATCGTATTCTTCAGCTCATATTTTGTCAAGTAGTAGTTACTAACCCATTATAGCGAATGAAAAAATTGTAAATCCGAAACAAAATACCTACTACAGCTAATTCATCTCGGGAAAACAACGTCTTCTTACCACAAAGCCCTTTCCCTATGCTTGGTCGCACTGTGTCTAAAAACGGTCGCACCACACCTCGACCTTATGTTCGTGGCGTGTCGTCAAGGGGATCGGAGCCATTGCCTGAGTCTCCGATTTTTTCGGCTTTTGCTCGTGGCCGAAAGCGGGTTCTCAGTGACCTGCGGTCATAGTGGCTGATGCTGGGAATTCGCATCGACTCATGGCGTTGCACCAACGACATACGATTCCCGATGTCTCCATATGGCATTTTCCCGTGAGTTGCCCCAGCCAGTTTACTATGACTAAATGTTGACTTGAAGCAGTTGCTTGCTAATATTCATTGGGATCAAAATGCCATATAAATAATGTGAACTGCATTATTTGAGGATGTATTGAAGAAATGCAGATTTTCGGTTGAATGGGTTTAACCCCGGGTCATATAAAAATACAGCAACAATTTCCCTCCTATGAAAGTTCCGTAGGACTTGTTAGTCCAAGTTTGATAAATGTTAGGAAGCTTCCTTTTATTTGATGAGAAACTCGTAAACATAAACCAAGTACAATCCTATGAGACTCCCATGCATACTGAAACCCTTATCAAATGGAAAGAGGGACTCAGATTCTGTTTCACTTGTCCATACAATTCCAAGAAGCTTCTCAGAAGATTCCAAATATTCATCGACATAATATATTTGCCTGCTTCCAGCTTGATGATTATGTCGTTCTTGCAAAACAGGTACAATTAATGATAGTCTTTATTTCTCAGAGATTAGATCATGGAAGAACATGAGCCACAATTTGAAAAATCTTTAGATTTTTGGATTTCATGAAATCTGTCTTCAGGGTTCTTGTCCATTTAGAGCAGGGGTTGGGAACCTATGGCTCATGAGCCAAATTTTTCTCATGAGCTGATAAGTTTGACTCATTGAGTCATACATGAATATCGTGATTGTTCCTTATTTTTCCTCGGAATGCATGTCTGTAGCCAACTTGCCATTCTGCTGTTCAGAAAGTTTCACTTGCAAGAACTTACCTCAAATATAATGCAGTTCACATGGCCAAAAAGGTTCCCGACCCTTGAACCAGAGTTTCATTAGTGGTACACAAGCCTTTCTGCATAATTTCAGTGCTTAATTATAGCTTGTGTTTTTATCTTTTTGTACCTTGACATACCAAGCTTTACTTGGAAAAATTCCTGGTGAAGCCAAAAATGCTCAATATATCCTTTGTTGACAACATTTCTCTCTTGTCTTGCTCTTCAACTCGAGCTTTGACATTGCCACCTTTCTGCAACAGTGACTTCCATGTGAAACCAGGTTTATCTTGGGCAACATAGAGGGCTAATTTTCTTGCAAAACTTTGAAAGTGCTCTCTCCAGTTGAATTAATTTTCTCAACACCAGGGCTTCCCAACATTTTTCACGCGCAACCCCAAAAATTACGATCGTGCCATTCAGGGCCCCAAGTACTGGCTCAAATTCGACAGGCTTCTCCCACCTGTGCACTAAAATCGGCAAGAAAAACATAACTTGGCATTTCGTTGCCAGTTTGCGACCCCAAATATGATCTTGGTGACCCCAAAAGGGGTCACGACCCATGGGTTGGGAAGCCCTGCTCAACGCACACCCAAATACTGTTGTGAGAGTCTCATCTAGATTTATCCAATTGACTTTATGTTCAAAATGGTATGGTATTGTCTCATATGGATCAGAGAAAACTAGACTGTTGAATTATTTTAAATCAACATTTAAATTTACTTGTTATGAACCATTATTCAAACTCTTCAAGCTTCTGACTCAGATGCAATATAATTGTGCATCACCTTCTCAGGAGCTTGGTGAAGGTATAAGTCCAAAAAGCAGGACTCTACGACCGAGATTTGAAAGTCACTGTACTGACGACTAGGTTGTACAATCTTTAACGGAACAAAACACTGTCGAAAAAGTACTAAGTACAACTGTAAATACTAATAGACTTAACGAGTCACACAAGTGTTATGTAATTTCATTGTGGATTCAAGAAAACTGTAATATCAAAATCTTATCAATGATTATAGAGCAGAACATCTTCACGTCCATGAGTTTCGACGAACCAGTTAATCAGTTAAAGTAATAGAAAGACCCGTCTATAAAAAAGGACTAGGTTGTGTTACGTTCTAACTATTAGAACAAAAGTAATAAGATTTTTTATGTCAGGTTATTGTCAAAATCTAGCACCTCAATATTAGGTAGACAGGAGCTCTGATACTTTGTTCATTATCTAGCAGTTTATCTGGGAATGTCTTTTTTTTAAAGCATAATTCATATCTAGCTTAACATCTCAGGTTTCATCTATTGCATTACCAATTGGTTATCTTCAGAAAATTATGCATGAGAGCAGTACCCTTTATGGTTCCTATGATGAGAAAAGTATCCCTTGAATGTGGTTCATATTGGTTCTCTCATGACTGGATGATGCCTAAATGGACTGTTATCTGGTAAAATGATAAATGCACCCTTATGGAAACAGGATCTGTGATTACAGATAAACATTTAAGTCTTGCCCAAAAAAAGGATATATGCAAGTCCAGACCTGACATATAGTCTTGAAAGCACCTTCTTAGAAAAATCACGACTTTGGTAGGTCATCCTCTACGGCCCCCGTAACTGTGCGGTGTGGACCCTTGTAGTTACCTGAGGAACAAAGTAAGGTAGTAACAGCACGAGCAAGACACTACCAAAACGAAGGAGAAGTCAGTTGTTTCCAGAATTGCTCTCAGCTAATCATGCATCATCACATTTGGCCCCACTGGATACAAGAGTTATGTGGAGGTATTGAAAATCTTTTTGTTATTGCAGTTAGACTTATCTATACTTCTGGGTCAGTAGTTTTCAACCTATGGTTGGTGAAAATTCTGGGTCAATGCAGAATTTTGACTTTGATTAACTAAGATTCAAGATGCATGGAACAAGTGTTTTTCCACCTGTATTTTTTTTCATTGGCCTCCTAAGTTCCAAATGGGTAGTGAAATCTTGAATAAATAAAATGTAGGTCACTCCATTGAGAAGGTTGGGAACTGTTGGTCTGAATCCTAAGACCATCTAGTTACAGTACAGTAGTCTTGATTCTCCAAAAAATGGAACTATGAGCACTTTGGATAATTGAAATCATGGAACATCATTGTTTGCACAAATTATGTTCATTTTATCACAAATGCAGAAAAATTACTCCAGATTATAGACTTGCATATGTGAGAAAATTAGCAACCAGCCCTACCTTCTTATATCATATAACCATATGTACTGTAGCTTCATGATTTATCATATTCATTTTATTTCTTCTTGTGTGTAGACAAATGAGGCAGGTTTGTGGCGAGATGGGATGATCTGGGATTGGCTAGAGTCACTCACCTTCCTCTCATCTCAATGGTGAGAGGAGGTAAAAAGTGGGTCTTGAACAGAGTTGGAAGGAAGTTGCTACACAGGCATCAAGACTTTTGGATTCAAAGCACCTTCTTCTTTCAATGTCCAAGGCCTTGGAGAATTAAATGGTCTCGCAAGAGCCCCAATAAAAGGGTTTTTTATGTTTTTTTCCTCAGGTTATTTTCTTCTCTTAAAGTTTTTTCTTACCGGAACATGGTACTAACTTATTTTAACCAGTAACTGGATGTAGGCAGAAAATAACGTTAGAGACCGTGTCACGGCCTGCACAGGGTGCAGATTGACTGCAGAATTATTACAAAATATGAAAAATTCTCTTTAAAAAGTTGCAATTATCCTAAACTTGACTAAATTAAACAAATTAATACGTAATGTATTGTTTCAAAAAAATACAAAAAAAGGAGTCCAATAAAAGAAGAGAATTTCAAAAAAGAATGGCCTTGTACCATGATTGAATAAAATTGGTCATTGACCTACATCCGTCTTTTATTGCAATCTCTGGCACAGTGCCATAAGAAGGGATGTGTGAGCAGTGCCCCTGCACAGGGTGCAGATTGACTGCAGAATTATTACAAAATATGAAAAATTCTCTTTAAAAAGTTGCAATTATCCTAAACTTGACTAAATTAAACAAATTAATACGTAATGTATTGTTTCTGCTGGGGAAGCTAGAGAGGTATGGGGAGAGGGGGGCCC